AGATTAAAGATGAAATTTCATATTCTTTATGCCTTTTTGTATTTTTACAATTTCTACATTGACTATGTCTTCCTTCTTGTTTTTAGTAAAATTTATTGTTATAGTTACATAAAGTAAAATTTGCCTGCTTTAGGTGCCCAATTTGATGACTGCTGACATAGTCACGTTACCACCACGACTGTCTTATAGAACATTTCCATTTCCCCAAAAGTTCTCTCATGCCCTTTATGACCAATCCCATCCTTATAGCCTCAGCTCTGGCAACCACTAATTTGATTTCTGACCTTATAGTTTTTTGTTTTCCAGAATGTCATACAATTAGAACTCATGTAGTATATAGCCTTTGTGTTTAACTTCTTTCATCCAGTAGAATGCTTCTGAGATTCATCCATATTGTTGCATGTATCAGAAGTCCATTCCTTTTTCTTGAATGTTCCATTGCATCAATTTACCTCAGTGTGTTTTTGCATTCACCAGTTAGTGGACATGAGTTGTTTCTACTCTTCTGGGTATCATCAACAACGCAACTATAAACGTTTTTGTACAAGTCTTTGTGTAGGCCTATGTTTTCATTTTTCCTTGGTAAATATCTAGGAGTAGGATTGCTAGGTCATATTGAAAGTGCATATTCAACTTTATAAGAAACTGCCAGATTGTTTTCCAAAGTGGCTATATTGTTTTGCATTACCACTAGCAATGTATTAGAGTATATCCTATTTCTGTGATCAGAAAAAATTACTGTTATTAAATATCTAAAGGATGTGGTCATTATGACTCTACAAATACGTATTTCTTGTATGACTAATTTGAATACCTAGAGACCAAAAATAAGGGCCTTTATCTCTTTATCTTGAGTACAGTAAAGAACACCTATAAGCTTTCATGGTTAAGTGGGTTTTCCAGTTTTCAAGTCTATTCTCAAATTTTGAAATTTGGAGCAGTCTAAATTCTTTATAGATGGATGGTCCCATAACCTTTGGAAGGGTTGGAGTGTGCAGAGAATGAGGAAAAAAGAGCCCAAATCATTTGAATATTTGGTAACTATCAGATAATCCATTTATTAGAAAACATCTTAAAAATCAAAGTGCACTTTCTCCTAATCCATCTAGCATTGCTGTTGAATCACTGTTCTGTCCTGTGCACGTGTGTGCGTGTGTGTGTTTAATGTTCGTTGTTAGGTTCTATGATATCTAAGCCCCAAAAGATTTTTATTTCAGAAAAATATATGGGAGTTATATTTAATCCAATGTTATACTCCGCTAGGCAATAGATTCTGTTCATTACACTTACAACAATGTTTACATATACTTAATTATTGAAAAATGAGTTCCTCTGT